AGTTGATCCACAAGATGAAGATAATGAAAAGTCGGATACAAGTAATTTGGTTCCATTTCGTAAATCTCTGGTACAGTATGATTATATCTATATACAAAATAATTAATCAAATTTATTTTTCTATAACTTTGCTTTAGGAGTGGCCTATTGGTTCATCTGATTCAGTAGATGTTTTGCTAATTCCGTCAGATCCAACAAATAAAACACGTTATGCAACTAAGGTCTTAAATATCGTCTTTTCACGTGAAGATCTTGAAAATATTCAACCGGATGCCTTACCTAGTGACGAACGGTACCATTTCGTGAAAGGTAGAATATGATTTCATCTTTCTTTCACTATCAAATTGAATGTTATTTTCCAGAAGCCGTAAGATCGAAATTTAAACTCGATGCTGCTCAAATGACATTACAATGGCCTATTTTTCACGAAGCTATTATGCAAAAAAGAAGAAATAACCGACGTGATAACCGTGCAAGTGATAAAAATTAATCAACATAGATAAAATAAGAACAGGAAAATGTATTTTCCTGATATTTGCAATCGAATAATTTTTTTTGTTGATCAATTAAGTGAAATTGTTTTTCTTCACTATTTGTTTTTACTGTTGTTCCCGATTATAGCTATTGAACTAAGCTTTTTCTCAGGTTGAAATAAATATTACTATTTCGTTGAACTCTAACGAATATATTGCAAGGGTAAAGGAGAAACTATGATGTCACGAATGAATAGATTTGAACCCTATCCTACCGTCTGAATATGAAAGTACCGCCGGTTTATTGCCGGTATACCGCCGGTTCTTTTGCAACTACCGGCGGTAGAGCGCACATTATACCGAACGGTCAACCGGCGGTATACCGCCGGTTTTTTTCCGGTTCGAATCACATGGGGTGTAACTTTGGATTATTTTCTCCATGCAAATCATCGTCAATGTCTCAATGTTATTTGTGTTTTTGCTTTCGTAATTTGCATTCTTTTTCTTTACTCGTTTTATGAGAAGAAAAGGAAATAAATCAGAAAAAGTCGTTCTAATATATATAATGACGGATGTATTGTCGACAGTCTCATTCGCTTATACTACAATGTTGATAGAATATCTGTATTGCCATATGAAACGAATAAATTACTAGAACCTGAGTAAAATAAAATTGAAGAGTAATTAAGAACTACTACATACGCTTCTATTTGTTTCCTTTTTTGTTGACAACGAAGAGGACTGATGTTTTTCATCAGTGATAGAGGCATATTTCCACTTTAAATCCACAATAAGACAAAGTTAGAAAGAACTTTTGTTATCCTCTTCATATATACTCCTTCAATTTTATTATTCTCTCATATTTGTACAAGATTCATAGAAAAAAAAAGATCGTGTTTGAAAGATAGAAATCGAGGAACTAATTCATATTTTCCATGTTTCATTCTAGAACAAATGAATAAGCGAAAGATAATTTCAAAAAACATTCTTACTATATATAGAAGCATTGATTTCATCCGGCATTTTAGTAATATGTACTTCGAAACGATTTTGAACTTCATTAAGAATGGCCGCATCATTGTCATCTGAAACAAATGTTATTGCTAAACCTTTTGTAGCAAAATGAGCAGCACGACCAATCTGAAATATTACATATATATTGATGAGATAAATACGTTACTCCACATACACAATGAAGATAAGTATTAATATTTTCTGGCGTATCATAATTCAATACAATATTAACATACTCAATCTTCAGATCACCTCGAAATAAATTTGTTGTAACAAGAATACGGTTTTGAGATTCTTGAAATTCTTTATAACGTGTCAAACTAAATAAACTAAGAATTCGTTATTTAATTTTAATTCAAAATGAACAAACCGTTCTTCTTGTGTCAGTTCATGATGAATTTCAACAACAGAAAAATTTTCTTTACTTAAGAATTCGCATAGAGACATACAACGCGAGACTGATTTAACAAAAATAACTATTTGATTAAATTCTAATTTACCAAGTAAACCAATCAATGCTTGATCTTTTTCATGTTCATGTAGTTTGATATAATATTGATCACGATTCTTTAATTTAAAAGAAATATCTGTAGATTTTCTCAATGGATACGAAGATCTACGAAATTTCCTTGATAAAACTTACATGAATTGTTAATTTCAATCGATGATCAATATAAATTTCCAATGGCTAGGAAAACATCAGAATAAATCTATTGTTCGAAATCTAATATAATGACATTAACTTACATCTCGCATGAATTTCTTACAGATTGGTCGAATTTGTTGATTTAATTCACTAAACATTAATACTTGTTTTTCCTTCGGTGTCATTAGAAATATTTTTTGAATATCCTGACGGATATCTATGATTATACGTATTTATAGGAAAGATGTAAATTAATTTCTTTTTTTTACCAAGTTCTTCAAGTACTCGATCACATTCATCAATAATGAAATGTTTGATATAATGTAAATTAAGTGCTTTACTATTTGCTAAAGCTAAAATTCGACCAGGTGTTCCAATAACAATATGCGGACAATTATTTTTTAAAATATCCTCATGATGTTTTATTGGTACACCACCATAAAATATCGAAACTTTCACAGATGACATATATTTACAAAAACGTTCATATTCACGGCATATATTAAATGCTAATTCACGTGTATGACAAAGAACCATTGTAGATACCTATAAAATGACATTAAATCACATAAAATAAAATTTCATTTTTGAAGATTATATTTACTTGACCATCAACAGGTTGAAGTTGTTGAAGTGTTGCTAGTATATAGATAGATGTTTTACCCATACCCGATTTGTCTTGACATAGAATATCTGTATCAAGAATAGCTTGTGGAATTAATTGACATTGAACTAGAAAATAAATAAAGGAAGTTAACTTAGAAAATTTTCCTTTTTTTTTCTATGAAACCTTCAGATGGTTGTTCAAAACCATACTCCGTAATAGCACGTAATAATTCAGGTTTAAGAAGAAAATTTTTAAAACTATTTGAGTGTTCCATTGTTCCATTTTGTAATGATGTGTCACTTATATTCTTTGATTGTTGAACATCATCTGTTGCAGAAAGCATTGCTTTTTATCTGAAAATATATTTCGCTTTGAACTTATGAATGAGTAGTTGTGCTTGTATGATGTGCACAAACTATAAACAACAGAATCGATTTCTTTATGAGCTAAGACATGTTGAAGTCTACTAGTGGAAAAATAGAGAAGATAAGTGTACTATTGTAATATACAGTGTGGAGAAAAACAACTAACAAAATCAATAAGTGTTGTATTGCTTTCACCTTCAATGAACATTTGTCATTGGTAGAGAAAAACTGGTTATTACAGAAAGTTGTGTAACATGACATGAGTCATTTCGAACAGAATGGCATTTTTACATTGAGAAATGAAAAGAATTGATTTTATTATTGCACACAATTTACGCCACGATTCAATAATTATTTGCATTGATAGCAAGAAACTTGAACCAGACTGTATCAAAAAATATAATATGGCGATTTGAGAGCAGACGATGTAGAATCTCTCAAATACTGAGCATAAAAAATCGAGAGCAAAAATCGAAAAGGTACTTCACATAGTTGATTTTCAACAGTCACCGGTGATTATGAAGACGAGAAGAAAGACAAAACGAAGTATCATATTGAATTTGTTAAAGATTATTGCGTAATATAAATCCTGTGATCGCAATTGTATTTTCGTATTTGCTTGATTAAAATCAATTTCTTCATCCTTATATCTCGAATCAAAACTTTTGATTATTTATTTATTTGTATATATTTACATCCAATGATCAGAACTATATGTGTGAGAAAAAAATCTGTGTGTTTAATCATGAACGAGCCGTAATATTGCCGAAAATTTGTGTTGTTCTATTTGTTAATTGTAATTGTTGTGATGTAACTTGATTTTGTTTTTTAAAACATGAAATTGCTCGTACATTTCGTCTGCATGCATGAAACACGATCACATAGACATAAAATGTTCCTACATGCATTGTAAAACTAATAACAACATTTATATTTGTCCACAGATTTTCTTGTGCCAAATGTCATTGCAAATTCAACTGGCATCATTCGATTAACTTGTTGTTGAATGTGATTAGATCGATGATGTCTTGTTAGCAAAAGATCGTACCATGCAAGTATGCTAAAAGTGCCAAGAATAATCAAATAAAAATATGTGATGAATTGTTTGTAGATTGCACGATCATTAGTTGATGCTGTACATGAATATTCTGAAAACGCTATCTGGAATACA